GAATAGAATAGAATAGAATAGAATAGAATAGAATAGAATTCCTTCTTTGTCACTATACCATTGTACAATGAGATACAGTGCATCTCCTACACAGTTCTCCCTCCCACACAGGGTGCACTGTTCTGCTGACTAGCGTGGTGTCATCAGAAAACTTGATGATGAGGATGTTGTTGTGGGTCAATCTGCAGGCATGGGTATAAAGAGAATAAAGGAGGGGGCTCAGCACACAGCCCTGTGGGGAGCTTGTGCTCAGTGTGCGATTGGAGGAAAGATGAGGGCCGAGTCTTACAGTCTGTGAGAAAGTTCTTTATCCAGGCATGATTGTATTGAAAGCTGAACTGTAGTCCACAAAGTGCATTCGCACATAGCTTTGCCGCTGTTCCAGGTGACTCAGCACAGAGTGAAGGGCTATGGCGATGGTGTTTTCCATGGATCAGTTTGCGAGGTATGCAAACTGGTAGGGGTTGAATTCTGAGGGGAGGAAGTCCTTGATGTGCTGAAGGACCAGTCTCTCATGAAGCATTTCATGAATACCAGCTACCGGGCATTAATTGTTCAGGCTAGTGATGGGAGACTTCTTTGGCACTGGGATGATTGTGGCTGATTTAGACAGGATGGGATGGCTGCCTGATCCAGTGAGAGGTTTAAGATTCTGGTGAAGATGAGGGTGAGCTGCTGGGCACATCCTCTTAGCACATTGCCAGGTAATCCATCTGGACCGGCAGCCTTCCTGGGGTTCACTGATATCAGTACTGTAGTCCAGTACTGATCCTGTGAAAGCTTCTAGGTCCTGGTGTTCAATTATGTCCCAGTCTGTCTGTGTGAAGTAGTCCTGCAGTTTGCAAAGTGCATTTTCAGGCTGGGGGGAGCAGGAGGGAGAAGTGGTCGGACTGGCCGAGGAGGGGGAGGGGTATGGCTCTCTATGCATGCTTAATGTTGGAGTAAACATGATCTAGAATGTTCTCTTCCCTGGTGGGACATTTGACATGATGATAGAACTTTGGGACAGAACAGTCTTTGTGTCGGCCTTATTAAAGTCACCTGCAATTATGTGAACACCGTCAGGGTGGGCCCGTTGCTGTTTGTTAATGGTTTCAGCAGGACGGAGAACGCCATGTTTATGTTGCCATTGGGTGGAATGTACTCTCTCAGTAGAAAAAAAGGCCGGCATCTTGGGGGTGGCTGTAGCTCAGGAGGTAGAGCAGGACACCTACTGATTGGAAGGTTGGTGGTTCGATCCCTGGCTCTTCCAGTGTGCATGTCAAGTGTCCCTGGGCAAGATACTAACCCCAAGTTGCTCTTCGATGCATCCATCGGAGTGTGAATGTGTGTGAATGTACTTAGAAAGCACTAAGTATAGAGAAAGTGCGTGTGAGAAAGGGTGTGATTGGGTGAATGTGGCATGTTGTATACAGCGCTTTGAGTACTCTGGGAGAGTAGAAAAGCGCTATATAAGAATAAGTCCATTTACCATTCCATCTCACTGACATGTACTCGAGGTTCGGGGAGCAGGTTCGTTGTTGCACCAGCTTTCATGCACGTAGATAAAGGGGGTCAGGTCTGCTGCTGCTGTCAGTCACTGCTGCTGAGGGATCTTTTAAAACCAATTGGCCTGCTCGCCAATCAGGAAGGACCTGTAGATAAAGACATAGAATACCACAAAACCCGGCCAGGGCCGTAACAGTCTCGCTATGTGAGTGCGATGAAAGTACCACGAAACAATGTCTGGTGCAGGTCCCCGATGTCTGTGAGGTCCTGGCAGGTGTAGCGAATTTTGAAAGCAGAACCAATAGTGCACAAAGAAATTAAAAGGATGTACAAACTAAGGAAACTAAACAAAAGAGAGGAGTACTAAGACGGAGAGCCATAAGCCGCTGCAACAACTTGTGCCGGCGTCTTGGAAGGATATGGCAGCTCTCCTCTTGTAGTGCTTGTTAAGCTGGGATTAGAAGCCTGGACCGCAGACTCCAGGGGAAAATATTACCTGGAAAGACCAAAGTAACCTATTAGAGGTATTTACACTAATATAGATTAATACTCAGTTTAAACTGCAGCAGATTTTATCAAAGCAGTTTGACAAGAGCAAAGCAAAGAATAAAAAGAATAATCAGATTACATCAATTTTACTTATTGAACCAACCCACTTTGAGCTGATTAGAATTAGAATTAGAATTAGAATTAGAATTAGAATCCAACTTTATTGTCATTGCACATGCACAGGTACAGGGCAACGAAATGCAGTTTGCATCCATCCAGAAGTGCTTTAGTGATATAGATATATTACAATATATATTAGCAATAATATAGATATGTAAGTATATTACAGAAATGGGTCTATTATGGTATGTTATAATGTACACGGTATGAAGTATGTTGTGAATATTCTATAACTATAGGTTTGTACAGGCTGTAGTGAGTACAAGCTATGTACAAGATATGAACAGGATATAAATGTGAAAAACTATACAGAATATGAAATAAATAACTTTACAGAAATCTGAGGTATACAGTTATACAGAAATGGGAACTATGCAAGTTGTAAACAGTTGTAGGGTTAAAAATTATCGTGATGATGATTTAGTTCATTTGGGGCGATGAGAGGGACACTTCCAGCACTGTAGATTTGTTCGTGGAAATAATCAGGAGAGCAGTATTCACTGATAGATCCCACATCTTCTTAAAGTTATAATCTGGACACTGATGGAAGTCCTAATCCTTCTCAGAATTATAATCCAATACAGCAATGATGATGATGATGATGATGAAGATGATAAGCAGTCTGTAATTCCAGTCCACTGTGGCCAATCTCCCCTTCCCTCCTCGGCTGGAGTTTCCGACTTCTGGAACCCTTTGAACTGCTCGTCTCACAGGATGCCGCAGACCGACCCAGAACACTTCCATGCATCCCAGTTTATACTTTCAACTCACCCACCTTTCTTTCTAAAATCGAATCAATCAATCGGGTGTTTACATCAGATTCATTGATCTTCAGCCTCACCTTACTTTCCTTCATCTGTGACCTCTGACCCCCTTTAACTAAAGCAATGGTTATTTCATTTCATGTCTTTATTCAGTTCACATTTCATTAGCATGTTCATTATAGCATAATCCATTTAATCCAAATTTATCTTTGATTACGAATAAAGATGATCTACTTACTAGCATATAGTGAAAGGCTCTGTTTAGCTCTCTGACCATTTTCAACACGCTTAACACATAAGGCTGAATATCAGGTCCTTTTATTCCCTCAGGTATGATGTCAGGCACGGCCAGGAGGACTTGAATCTGTCCACATTACGCAACAACACTAAACATGTCTTTGTAAGCAGACATGGACACACGCTTTGTCTAATAAACTTACATCTTTCATTCTTTTTACAGATTGAAGGAATGTGGTTTATCAGAGATCAGCTGTGATTATCTGGCAGCAGCGTTGAAGTCCAGCCCCTCTCATCTGAGAGAGCTGGACCTGACGTCCAATGACCTGAAGGATTCAGGAGTGAAGCATCTGTGTGGTTTTCTGGAGAGTCCAGGATGTGGGCTTGAAACTCTGAGGTCAGTCACCATTTTTTAGTTGTGCTGAGATGAATATGATGTTAAAGTTGTGCTGAAACTAAACTGCAGACATAACGCTGATATACTGATCCACACTGAGGATCTTCATAGTAAAGTCTGTTTTAATAGAATTCGGGGCTGTTAGTCTCAATAATATCTGATAAGAAAGCTGCTTTAGCTGCCTTAACAGAGTTCTGGTATAGAGAGCGGCTCCTACAAAGAATGTCATAAGATATCTAAATGTCTGTGAAGGTTCTCAGTCATCC